AGGGCTAGGGCTGGGCAAGGGGACCCAGGGCCGGAGAGTGTGTATTTCCTCCCTGGCCCCCTGAAGGCCACTGTATCCCCGAGGAGCCCTTGGACCGACCCCAGGTAAGCTGCTTGGGGAATGAGTTGGGTCACTCACCCAAATAGAGATTGTCCTCAGCTGGGTCATCCAGGACCTGGTCAGAGGGAGCAGACAGGGGGGTAGGGCTTGAGGAGGCCTGGGGTGGAAGTGCCAAGCCTCCTTGTCCCCCCAGCCCCAGGGCCCCCGGTATACTTTGCCGCTATCCACCGACAGATGAGGCCTCAGGAATCACGGGCGCTCACACTCGAGAACACCCCAGACCAGCCTGAACTGACCCCTGAAGCCTCCCTGCATCCCTGTCCCAAGTCTGGCTGTGTCCCTGGAGGCCTCGGCCACACGTGTCTCTCAGCAGGATCCCTGGTCTGTGCTCTCCACGACCGGGGCACAGGTACCCGCCCGCTCACCGCCTCCTACCTCGATCAGCTTCACCACATTCACGTGGTCCAGCTTCTTCAGGATGGCGATCTCCTGGTACACCCGGTCCAGGGGCAGCAGCTGCTTGGCTGGTCCTCCTTGGGCAGCCTGGGACCCTCTCGGGGGAGGGCGACCTGTGGCCAGGAAGAGGAGGCAAGCCCGTTGCAGGAGTCTGGGACCCCCTGTCGCCTCGCAACCAGCCTCAAGCAAAAACTTGCAAGACCATGGTCTTGTCGCCCACCCGCCAAGCACATGCCCACCACCAGACCTTTGCTCATGCTGGCCCTCCTCCACTCCCAGTCCTACCAAAAACTAGCTAGGGGCTGAGGTCTCCTTCTCCTCTGTCTTCCCCACTTCCCCGCGCACCCCCCAGCTCACGCCCCAGCTAGGGGCCCCCAAGCACAGGGCCCAATAGATACATACGTGGAAAGCCATACTGCTTCAGTAACTTCTTTTTGGAAAGGACTTTCATTGCCTACGGAGGGAGGGGCAGGCATGTCACTTGTGTGCAGCCACCAGGGGGCAATACAGGCGGGTCACAGGTGGCACCTGCCATGCCACTAAGGGTGTTGCCGGGAGTGGTTAAGCTGGGTGAGGAGGTGGCCACATCTGAGTCTAGGCCTGACCCCTCTTCTCCAAAATGCCCTTCTGGAGCTCTGCCCTCAGAGGTATCAGCCTCTGATCGCGTATTACCAGGGTCAAGAAGGTCACTTCCTTTGCATACCCCTAGGGACAGGGAGCTCCCTCCCTTCAGAGACAGGGCTGTCCTCTGTCTTCCCAGCGCAGCGTCTGCCCAACCCCCAGGTTTCCAGGGCCGGGCTGGGGCAACACCTCCCTCCTATCCCTGGACTCACATAGTGCCTGTCTTCACTTTCGTTATAGGCCAGCCGCACCACGCCGTAGGCACCCTGCGAATAGGCACAGGTCAGCCCTGCCTGGGCAGACACCCTCCCCCAGGGCTGGTTCAGGCCAAGGGGAGCCTGGACAGCTCTGGCCCCCTCCTCCTGCATCCCATCTCCACTCCCACCACCAATGGGCTTACATTTCAGGCCTGCCTTGGTAACTGCCCCTGCCTGGCTCAGTGCAACTCCATGCCTCCCCCAGTCCCTCCTAGTCTTCCATCAAAACTCTGGGGAGCCCTGGCCAGTGTGGCTCAGTGGGTTGAGCATCATCTCATGTACCGAGAGGTCACCAGTTTGATTCCCGGTCAGGGCATATGCCCAGGTTATGGGCTCCATCCTTGGGGGGAGGGGAGGGCATGCAGGAGGCAGCCAATCGATGTTTTTTTTCTCTCTCTCCCTCTCTTTCTAAAAAAAATCAATAAAAACATATTTTTAAAAAACCCACAACTCTGGGGAGTCAGGAATCAGGACTCATCTCCCATCAGCCCCACCCACACCAGTCATTTCCTACAGGAGACAAAATTTTCCTCACTCTCAGGCCTGGGCCTTCCTGTCTCTGCCTCACATTCCCAGAGGAGAAGGGGCTGCACCAAGCAGAGCATCCTGACAGCCTGCCTTCAAAATCAAACTAAATT